CTTAATTTGGAGGAACAGAAAGTAATATTTTTTTTAAAATGGGCCTCACAAAAACTGCAGCTCTGAGAAGTTCTGAACAGAGATGTTCTGATGAAGTTACAGACACTGATGGAGGACAGAGACTGAATGACTCATCTGCAGTTCTCAGCTCAGTCAGACTTTAACAGCACAGGAAGTTGGAAGCAAGCAGGTTTACATTTTTCACTCTTCACCGAGAGAAGCTTCACAATTTAGACATTAGAAACTCTCACAGTCACTGTTGTGTCAACAGTGCACTCCAGCACCGACCTGTATGTATATATGTGCCTGTGGAGGGGTCCAGTTATGTGTAAGTGAACATGTGAAACTGTCAAGCTGTTTGCTGTTGTGAACTCAAACACCACACCTGTGTTTCAGGAATGAAAGCTGCTGACATGAAGCTGTGTCTGCTGAGCTGGTTTTATCATTGTTCTTGCTGAACTGTTACCAGCTCACAAAAACGAAACCAAGAACACAGGAAACAGGAAAGAGTACACACCCTGTGCATCCTGTGGTTACACAGCTTTAGCTTTCTCTACTTCTCTGTTCAAAGACAAACTGTCTCATGTTAGAAATGATTAGAAGGTTTGCCTTTAAAGCTCATCTGGGTCTGCAGCATCACAGCAGCTGAGCCTTAAACCTAAAAGTGTTTTTTTGGTTTTTTTTAGCTTTTGTCTTCAGGACCCCTCAGAGAAAACTTCTTCACTTCACACATTTATGGTCTCACTTTTATGTGAAGTCATTCTATGTAATGCATTTCTTTGTTGTCATTCATAATATTTTTCCTCATTGAATCATCTGCCTACATCTCCCCCTATACCAGCATCCTCCTTCATCACATCCATAGATCTCCTCTGACGTCTTCCTCCTTTCCTCCCTCCTCTGCACATGTCCAAACCATATGAGCCTCTCTGACTGTCTCACTGTTCTCATGTATGTCCTGCACCACCCTCACATATTTGCTCATGCTGTACCACAGTTCCTGTTAGTTGGTGCTCATGTTCAGAGGCAGGGTCTGAAAAAATTTAAAATCATGTAAAAGATTCCAGAATAATTTTCTCTTGAACAGAATATCTCTTTATTGTCATTGTACAAGTACAACAAAACTGTGGGTGCCCCACACCAACTGTGCCACCAACCGATGTAGGCAATGTTTCACAAGAACTTTGAATAATCAGCAGCAGGTCATGAGTTTGATCTTAGTGTGCTGCTAAAGAGCTCCAGCAGAGGGCAGCAGGCTTTTACTTTCTGCTCTTTCCTTTTGGTGCTGCTGGATTTCAGGATTTCATCCCAAAAGATTTGTCCGTGATGGACCAAAACCCGCTCCGGACCCTGAGGAGCTTAATACAAGAATAACAGACAAACATAAAGTCTGAACCTTCCGAAATCTTTAGAGTAGTTCTGATTCTCAGGGGAAAAAGAATAAAGAACAAAACGCCTTCAGCCAATGTGTTTGAGCATTAAGGTCAAACAAGAAACCTGAAGACTGACTCTTGTCTGCAGAGACTGGACTGCAAAAACAGATTTAGGTCTACATTCAAAAATTGGTCCTTTTGAATTAGATTTTTGCAAAAATAATTCAATTTACATCAACATAACTGAATATAATCTTACATTACAGGGTCAACGTTGGCATATTTAACATGAACATAAAGCTACGACCAATAAATTGAAATCTGGTTTAACACAGCTGTGTGTTATTAGATGTGTTTCTAGCCTGTTACAGTGAATCATCATCACAAGACAAAGTCTTTATGCGGAGCTAAGGTCAGTAACTGAAGCATGTGAGCATAACCTGTTTATGTCCACAAAACCTTTAATATTCATCAAATGTGATACATTAAACTGAACCGGCTTCACTCACTCTCAGGTTGAACTTGAGGTGACATCATTAAATGTCTCCTGATGTTTTTTATAAAGTCAAAGAATGAAAATCATCACTTAAATATTTGCTAACTGTCTTTAAAAGTAACCTAATCAATCAATCGACCAGTGGAAATGCAGATTAATAATCTCTTTACTGATGTGTGCTGTGTTGTATCTAACCTGTGCATGTGTTGGTTAATGTATGTCTAGCCTGTGTGTGTTATGGTAAATGGTAAATGGCCTGTATTTATATAGC